ATATATATATATATATTACACACATACATGTATATATATACACACACACACAGTCCCTTTAAATGTAGAAATAAAAAATGACATGAAATAAATGAAGTAGAACACACTCAGCTGATAAGTATAATTTACAGTTAAACCAGATCAATTCTTCATGCTCTCTAGACTGAGATCTTCCCAGTGGAACAGTTTATCATTGTTTGATCTGTTAGGTCAAACATAACAATGAGGTGAATGCTTGACTATAGCCGTTCTCTTCACTGTCCTACGTTCCAATATTAGTACAAGAAACACATTCCCTAATCAAAACACATTTCTTTGGCAAGACAAACAGCTCTCGACTTACTGGAATCCCACTGGAGAGATTTTAACCATAGTACACAGGATATCAGACTTGTATTAAATATTTTTAAGGTCAGTTTGAGCTCTTACATTTACAAGAAAGAATACTTGCGCAGCTGTAAAGCAGCTTCAAATCTACTGTTCAATTTCAATGTGCAAAAGCATTTTACAACACACAATTAACCACTTGAAGTCCGCGGTGTTAAACCCCCTTCCCATCCAGGCCATTTTTCAGGATTCAGCGCTGCGGCAATTTGACTGACATTTATTCCGTCATGCAACTCTGTACTGAAATACATTTTATACCCTTTTTTAGGGGACAGATAGAGCTTTCTTTTGATGGTATTTAATCACCACTGGGGTTTTTATTTTTTTATATATTAAGAAAAAATTACAGAAAATTAAAAAAAACTGTTTCCCCTATATTAAATTTGAAAACATTTATTATTACCCAATTTTTTTGTAAAATATATAAGACGGGGTCACTTCGGGTAAAAAGACACCAAACATGTCAAGCCTTAAAATTGCGTATGCACGCGAAACCTCAAAAAACGACATTACACAAAATTGGCCATAGGCGACGCTTTAAAAGCTTTTACCGCTCATGCGTTTAGTGTTATCAGTGATTGCCCTAATTATTGCTCTCACTCCGACGTTCGCGGCGATATGTAACATGTGTAGCGCTGACGCATCTTTACGTTTATATGTGCGTAAACGAGGGGGGGGGGCTTAAACATTTTGGGGGGGCTTACTGTTTTTTATTTGTGACTTATTTTTTTTAATTATATATATATTTTTTACACTTATTGTTATTGCTATTACATAGGGGGATACAATCCCCCTATATATTAGCAAAGGCACACTGACTGTCCTCTTTATGGACACTGTCCTTTTGGGGACCCCAAAAGAAGCGGATGAAGAAGAGATCTGCTTCATCAGCTTCTTCTCTCTGGCTATAGCAGCCAGATGACTGACAAGTGCATGCAGAAGTGATGTAATTACATCACTTCTGCATTCACAGCACGGAGGGAGATCAGCAAGGAGGAAGATGCTGAGCTCCCTCTAATGCCCGTGCGCGCACTATGGGGCACGCGCGAGCAGGAAAAATTGCCATCTGTAGACGGCAACTCGCCAATGCGAGTCTGCCGTCTGTTTTTTCTTAACGGGCAGACGGCAGGAGGTTAATGTAGCTGACTGAAATTAGGAATACAAAAATAGTAATAAAAAAAAGCTCTGATGGACTCACCCGAGGAATATGAAAATAGTTGAAATTGTGACTAAAAGCAAAATGTGAACCCCTTGGAATCAACTTGTTTTCTGCAGTAATTTGCCATAAAAAGTGATCTGAACCTCATCTAAGTCACAATAGACAAACACAATGAGGGAAATACCTTGTTACACTAAGCACAATGAAGGGAATTGATCAAAACTGAAGCAGACAGAATCTGGAGCAATTGTTCAGGGCAACCAATCAGCTTCTCTCTTCAGTTTGTTCAGTTAAGAATTGAAAATCGAAAGAGAGAAGCTGATTAGTTGCCATGCACAGCTGCTCCAGATTTTGTCTGCTCCAGTTTTAATAAATTCCCCCCAACGTGCTTAAGCTGATAACACAAAAACAATTCTAATTTCTAGAGTCTTTATTGAGCACACCCATTAAACATTTACAGTGCTTGCAAAAGTATTCACCCGCTTGGCAATTTTCCTATTTTATTGCATTATCACCTTGAATTTAAATGGATTTTTGTTTTTTTTATCATTTGATTCACACAACATGCACTTTGTGATTCACACAACACTTTGATGATGAAAAATATTTTTTATAGTAATACAAACAAGAAATAAGACAAAAGAAAAAACAATAAACTTAAGCACAACTATTCACCGCCCAAAGTCAATACTTTCTAGAGCCACCTTTTGCAGTAATTACATTTGCAAGTCTCTTGGGGTATGTCTCTATAAGCTTGGCACATCTAGCCATTGTGATTGTTGCCAATTCTTCAAGGCAAAACTGCTCTAGTTCCTTCAAGTTGGATGGCTTTCGCAGGTGTTCAGCAATCTTGAAGTCATGCCTCAGATTCTCAATTGGATTGGCCTTTTTTGACTAGGTCATCCTAAGACATTTATATGTTTCCCCTAAACCACTCAAGTGTAGCAGCATGCTTAGGGTCATTGCCCCAGCCTTAAATCTCTGGCAGACTGAAACAGGTTTCCCTCAAGAATATCTCTGTATTTTGCGCCATCCATCATTCCTTCAATTCTGACCAGATTGCCAGATCATGTTGATGAAAAACATCCCCACAGTGAAGCAGGATGGTGGCAGCATCATGCTTTAGGGATGTTTTTCATCAGCATGGTGTTTTCAGAGTGATAAGAGATCTTGGGTTTGCGGCAAACAGCATTTTCCTTGAAGGCCAAAAAGCTTAATTTTAGTCTCATTTGACCAGAGTACCTTCTTCCATATGTTTGGGTAGTCTCCCACATGCCTTTTGGTAAACAGCAAACGTGTTTGTTTATTTTTGTCTGTAAAACCATGGCTTTTTTTCTGGCCACTCTCCCGTGAATGCCAGCTCAGCGGAGTATACGGGTTAAAGTGGTCCTATGAACAGATACTCCAATCTCCACTGTGGTGCTTTGCAGCTCCCTTAAGGTTATCTTTGGTCTCTTTGTTGCCTCTCTGACTATTCCCTCCTTGCCTAGTCTGTGAATTTTGGTGGGCAGCGCTCTCTTGGCAAGTTTGTTACCATATTGGTAACAAACATACATGGTACCATATTTTTTCCACTTTTTAATAATAGATTTAGGTGCTCCACCTGATGTTCAAAGTTTCGGATATTTCTTTATAACCCAACTTTAATCTGTACTTTTCCACAACTTTGTCCCTGACCTGTTTGGAGAGCTTCCTGCTCGTTATGGTGCCCATTGCTCGGTGGTGTTGCAGACTCTGGGGCCTTTCACAACAGAGATGAGAGAGACATTTAGATTGCACACAGGTGGTCTTTCTTTAAAGGAGAACTATGAGGTGAGTGCTTTTCACTCACCTCATAGTTCTAGCCGACCTGTGACAATGAGACTGTCATACGTCGGCTCAGTAGATCGGGAGGTGAGCGAACACATACATATTATGTGACTTCAGAAGGTAATTGGTTGCTACCCAATCTTATGTAGGGGCTTTATAGCAAAGGGGGTGAGAATACATATGTATGTATTTTTTAAACAAGTTATTTTCTTGATTTCAGTTCACAATATTGGACTATTTTGTGTATGTCCATTGCATGCAATCTAAATAAAAATCAATTTTAATTCCAGAGGGTAATGCAACAAAATAGGAAAAAAGCCAAGGGGGTGAAATGTTTGCAAGCCACTGTAAATGAACCGTTGGAGTTCATAGCCGGTCAAACCTTCTTTGGCAGCAATGACTTCAAACAAGCACTTTCAGTAGCTCTGGATCAGACCTTGACAATGTTCAGGAGGACTTTTTGACTATTTATTTTTACAAAACTGCATCAGCTCAGACACATTTGTAGGATGTCTGGTGTGAACGGCTCTTTTGATGTCATTCCGCCGCATCTCTATGGGGTTAAGGTCTGGGCTCTGACTGGGCCACTCCAAAAGGTGCATTTTCTCATATGCTTGGGGTCACTTTCCTGCTGCATCACCAAACTCCTACTAAGCTTCAGCTGGTGGACAGCCAAACTGACATTATCCTGTAGGGTATTTGGGAAAACTTGGGAATTAATTTTCCCCTCGATGATGGCAAGTGGTCCAGACCCTGAGGCAGCAAATCAAGCCCAAATCATTTTATTCCCTCCACCATACTTCACCGTTGGGATGATGTTTTCATGTTGGTAAGCTGTGCCCTTTTTGCATCATACATCGTGCTGAGTATTCTTACCAAACAATTCAACTTTTGTTTCATCTGTCCACAAAACATTTTTCCAGTTGCGCTGAGGTTTGCCAAGGTTTTCCTCTGTGGTGTTGTGCCATGGACACCCTGCCTGTTAAAAAAGACTTCTGTATGGTAGACTCATGAACAGGAATTCTTGCCACTTCCAGTGAAGTCTTCAAGCCTTTAACTGTTACTCATGGGTGGTTCTTTACCTCATTTAAGATTCTGCATTGTGCCTTGGCAGTCATCTTGGCTGGGTGCCCACTTCTAGGAAGAGTAGCCACAGTATTAAACTGTCTCCTTGTATAGGCAATTTGTCTGTCGACTGATGGATGCCTAAACACAAAGTTTATGCTGACAATTCCTAGAGGTGTCCCAACTTTTATTGATCACTCACAAGCTCTCTGTCTTTAGAAAAGCAGTGTTGGAACAGACTGTGTTACTACACCCTCTTAAACAATATTTGGACATGGATATTGTACTGCAGGAAGTAGTATATTGCTCTCAAAATGGCGAGAAAATGGCAATTAACAAAGAAAGACAGACAGACCATTATAGCCTTTAAACTGTAGGTCTTTCCTTTAGAGAAATTGCAAAGAAAGCCAAAGTGTCAGTGAGTACAGTTTCCTATACCACCAAAAGGCACTTGGAAACTGGAGGAAACTCTGACAGGAAGAGGTCTGGCAGACCCAAATCCACAACAGATTTAGAAGACAAGTTTCTGAGAGTCAACAGCTTGCGTGACAGGCGGCTCACAGGACCCTAACAGCAGCTTCAAGCACAACTTAACACTGATCAAAGTTCCAACTGTGAAGAGAAAACATTGAGCTGCAGGTTTGAAAGGTCGAGTGGCAGTAAGAAAGCCATTGCCAAGATGGCAAAATAAAAACAAAGTGGGTTGCATGGGCCATGAAACACCGCTGGTGCAATACTGACGACTGGAAAAAGGTCTTATGGACCGATTAAATCAAAATTTTAGATATTCGATTCATCACACAGGGTTTTTGTACGTCGTTGAGTAGGCGAAAGGATGGTTCCTTGGTGTGAGATACCAACTGTCAAACATGGAGATGGAAGCGTGATGGTCTGAGGCTCTTTTGCTGGATCCATAGTCGGCGAATTGCACAGAGTAAGCTGCAACCTGAACCAAAACTACTACCAGCATTTTGCAGCACCAAGCAATACTCTCTGGTGTATGCCTAGTTGGTCAGGGCTTTATCCTACACAAAGATAATAATCAGAACTACCTTAGAAGAAAAGAACAAGATGGTAGGCTTCAATCATGGAATGGCCAGCACAGTCTCCAGAATTAAACCCCATCGACCTGGTTTGGGATGAACTGGACAGAAGGGTGAAAGCAAAGCAACCGTCAAGTGCAATCTCTGCAACAGTGTTGGGAAGAACTTTCCAAACAATATTTGATTTCTGTTGTAGAAAGAATGCGACGAGTGTGTTCGGTTGTAATATCTGCAAAAGGTGGCTTACTCTGAGGAGTCAAAAAATGTAATTACTTTTTGTTAATGAAAATGATTCCACGATTTCTTTTGGATGTCCAATTGTTTATTTGTTCTATGTTTTATTTTCAGCTTTATTTAATTTAATTGAGACATTAAAGTACATAAATTTCAATAAAAACTGGCAAAATGGGGGTGTTCTAAACCTTTTGACCGGTAGTGTATATTGACAGCATTCCAATTGAAAGAAAAGAAGGCAACAGTGACTATACAGCTTCTTGTTTTTGAACAATATTAACAATGTCTCGCTTTTAAATAAGACCGGACCTTAAATTGCATCAAAAAATTTAAAGTGACTGCCAGGATGTCACATATTTGCTAACCAACTTTGACCGCTTTTGTAGTGAAAAGAGAACATTAGCTAGACAATCAGAAATTGTAAAAAAAATGATCTGCATATAATAGCAAGCATATCTGGAAAAAAAAAGAAGATCTCTGTCCATCATTAGACATTAAAGTAAGTAATAAAGTTTAGTCTTTGCCAAACTTGGCCTTATTGCAGTGCAATAAGGACACTAAAGTGTTGCGCAAACTGTTGGCGCTATATAAATCCTGTATAATAATAATATAAGTTTATGTTGTCAATTATGGCAACCCTTACCAGACTGTGTCCATTTATGACTATGGCATATTCACCAGTTACAGTTTCCTCATAAACAGATTCAACCTTTATGTCGTTCATTTTCTCAGAGAATTGGTGGCCATTAAATAGGCTTCTGCTCTGTCCAAAAGTTGCTTCCTTTGCTTTTCTTGAAGAAGGAAAAAGAAAAATGTTAGGTGATGTAGTACAGACCACACGATTTAAAAAAAGACAATGAAAAGGATTGCCATATACCTTAGTTCTTCTCGAACCTCTGTTACTGAGTGACCAGATATTACAAAAATATCATTCATGTCATCTGTGAGCATGTGGCAAGAGTAACCAATGTTCATGGCAGTTTCTATGGGGAAAAAAAGCCAAAAATTCTACATGAAATTTAAACAAAAAAAAAAAAACATGAACTGGAAGTACAAAGACTGTATATATTAAGGTGCATAGAGATGCTGTATAGGATTGGATCAGTGTCAATAAGGTAATTATTGGCTGTTCCTAAGTATGGAGCAACCTAATGATAGCCAAAAATTAATTTAATTGATTTTTTAATTAATATTAATCTGCAGCTGAGCTGCAGATTTGTTTTTCACCCTAAGGGATTCTTTTTTTGTATTTAACCCCCCTCATGACAGCGATGTTCAAAGTATGTCACTGTCACTAATTGCGATACTTAGTGACATTGTATGCCAGGTGACCACTATAAGCTTTTATAGAAAAAAAAATTAAAAGTTAGCTTGTAGGTTTAGGCTTAGAAGTACAGAACATTTTCTAAAATCCTAGGGATGCGAGGTGTTTCCAAATAAAGGACAAAAAAATTAATGAAAAAAAAAAGTGTTCTTGACGTGTTTTTCCTCATTTTTTAAAATATTTTATTCATCCTAAGTGAGGCGTTAGGCACACATATGTGATATACATATATAGCCCTATCTGTATTGTAAAAAACAATATATAATATGTGTGGGTGCACTTAGTAAGAAAGTATATTACTGCCATATAAGAATCACATATCAAAAATGTAAAAAATGCATACGTCATTAACGAACAGAAACTAAAAACACACTCAGTCATGAAGGGGTTAAAGTAATAAAATACAAATACTTATTGCAAATTATGCATGACACGATTAGCAAATCCTTTTAACACCATAGCGCTCATTCTATCCTTCTAAATGTGATGTTCCTGCAAAATATTACAATTTGAATGTACCAGCTGTGATTTCAGTTCATTGCACATTTGTCTTTGCTGTCATAATGCCTAATAAATGACATATATTTGTTAATACTGCATGTTTGCGTGCCATTAATATTAGAAATATAAGGCATTATGAGCTCCTGGAAGGAATTCTGCTCTCAGCATGTCACCACATCTGTTTTCTAATCTTTGTCTAAATAGCAGCAATAGTGTGACTATTTGTTGAATGTTAAAAATGTCAAAATAGGAAAAAAATGTGTGCATATGTTCACAAATGTTCTCCGTGGAGGTGCAACTAGTAAATGTATTAACTATATGTATTATATGTTTATCTGGATAAGGCCTATCTATTTTCACTGTATGAAGGACTAATCAGAGCTTGGTGGTGTGGGTGGGTGGATGTCTGCTATTTGGGAAAGGTTGTGCATGGCCATCTGTCAATCCAAACTTTGGTTAGTAACCATTAGAGTACATGTTACTAATGTTAAGCATTACCACTACACCCAGACCAGTATATACATGTTACTAATGTTAAGCATTACCACTACACCCAGACCAGTATATACATGTTGTTAATGTTAAGCATTACCACTACACCCAGACCAGGATATACATGTTACTAATGTTAAGCATTACCACTACACCCAGACCAGGATATACATGTTACTAATGTTAAGCATTACCACTACACCCAGACCAGGATATACATGTTACTAATGTTAAGCATTACCACTACACCCAGACCAGTATATACATGTTACTAATGTTAAGCATTACCCCTACACCCAGACCAGTATATACATGTTGTTAATGTTAAGCATTACCACTACACCCAGACCAGTATATACATGTGACTAATGTTACGCATTACCCTGCTTGTCTCCAGTTAGGATCCACAGCTTAATGTTGGCCAGCAGGAGACTAGCAATAGTATCTGTCACTCCTTCTTGCAGCTTATCCTCTATTGCAGTAGCACCTAGTAGCTGTAACAGAAAACTCACTGGTGATATATCATCATATTGCCATTACTTTTCAACATTTATGTTGGTAGCTTTTCAGAAAAGAGTAAAACACTGTACCAGTGCCATGTCTATGCCATTTTGGAAATTCTCTTCTTTTTTTACATTTGTGCATGGGTATGGTAGGAATGAAGATGAATCCTTAATCTCTGGTTTAATTCAAGGACCTTTCACTTGTCATTTTATCAGACACCAATATTCTGATGCACTTACTTTTTAAAACTAATAATTTAACACGTAATAAATAGGTGGAACATTTTTTACCACATAAATTCTATGTGAGAGTACTTAAATCACTACTAGAGCTGTGACAATATCAACGTCCCCTGAAGTTTAGGTTTAGTATTAAAATTTGTGTCAATAGGCTTTTATCCACTTAGAGTGTCTTTTGCATTCCCATACAGATCTATGGGAATGCAAAACCTACTTGAAGCATGATCAGAAGAAAGTCAACTGCAGGTCGAATGTACTTGTCAACAAATTCTATATGATCCCAAAAGTGTCTCAATCTGATGTCAAGTTGATGTTGATGCCATCAACAAAAGCCCAAAGCCTGTGGGCATTGGCCCTTAAAGGCTAGGGCTTAGGTTGAAGATTTATAGGTTAACTTAGGGTTAGTGTTGGTAATGCACACAGATATATCACAATTTAAACCATATCTGACTAGCATTTGGTCACACACAAAAAAAACAAAAAACAAGCGGATCAAGGCAGGCAATCACCATGCCAGCTATATACATATAAAGAGAAATAAATCAATCTATAAATGATGGTAGTTTGCCTACATCCATGTGATTATTTTAAGCAATTAAAGCTGGTTAGAAGTGGTTAAAAATACCAGAATTTGCTGTGTGTAAAGATAGTTTAAAGGTTACATTGAGGTTAAAGGTCAGTGAGTGACTATTATTTGTGTGTGCACAGTCCAATGAGGGGCATAAAAATTTAGTAATTCTTAGAAATTTAGGGTTATACTGCTGCCTTCACAGGGCTTGGACCCTTGCAAACAAAATAATGTTAAGCCAGCAAGACATCAGGAGGAAAGGAGCCACACCCAAGTGCATAACCCTCACTGTTTTAAGTTGAGGAACATTAGATGCAGGAATCTTGAGTCTAAGAAAAAGAAACCCTGTGTACACGAAATACATACTGTTCAGGGTAGGGAGTCAGTCCCCTAGTCAGGTGTAGGGGGAGTTCTCAAATTTTTCTGAAGATGAAGATCTTGCAGCCTCTAGATCAGGGGTGCCCACAATTTTTGTGTTAAGATCTACTTTTCAAATGACGAGCTACATGAGATTTACCAACGAAAAAAAAAAACTCCCTCACTCTCTCTCCTGGCTGTCTCTCCTTGCTCTCTCTCCTGGCTGCTTCCTCGTTACCAATTAATCGCCCCCCCCGGCTTCCTGATTGGCCGGGAAGCCGAATCTATACTCCCTCGTCACTTGGTCACTTGCATACTCACAAATGCAAGCAGCTAGTGCTGGTTAGGGTTGCAGGAGGCCGAAGTCACCAAGTCACTGTAGGTGGGCAGGGGAATGGAACAGGAGACCAGATGATCCAGTTCTCTCAGCCTTAATAGTTACCATGGTAAGATTGTAGTCGCAGAAATTTTAAAATGGTGCCCAACGGAACTGACTATGAGGTAGCTCTCTGCTTCAGCCTGACTAGTCACACAATGTGCCACCATGCAAAGTCCTGTGTATGAAAGTCACATTCAAGGCAAGCCCTGCAATCTTCAGTACAGTTGCAAACACTGTTCTACTAAATGCCACATAGTCTTACTCACAAAGTGAGTCTTCAGCTCTGGATCTAGAGAGCGCTCTGTGGCTAACATAGTACACAGAGTCTGGAAAGCGCCACAATGCAGAGCCCTGAGCCTAAAGGTGACATTTCAGGCTAACAATACATTATTCGGTCCAGCACAGTGCAGGTATGGCATCCAAAGTTGAGTATACACTGATCCAGATAGCTACTGTGAAGAGATTAGCACAAGTCTTGAATAAAGTCGCCAAAGAAAAAAACTATCTATGGAATATCTTAATTAGGGTAAAAATAGAAAGGAACGATTATAGGTGGTGTCAAACCTCCTATGAGACTGGCAAAAAAAACTGAGGTATGAAGACTGGAGGTAGGGTCCTACAAAGGCTGGCTTAATGTTTTTTGTTTGGCAGTGTCCACATTTTCTGAAGGTGGCAACCATACATGGCTCAAATTTGGGCTGATTCAGCAGGACCTGGCCCCATCTGCATCACCTAGCTTGACAAACTTCAACTGAAAAATCAAAGGAGCCGGAGTCAGCGGAGTAAAATAGTTGGCAGAGAGGATTCCTCCATCCACGCTGTTAGCATGGATGTGGGAATTCAATGGTTCCTCTTGTTTAGCCCACGGGCAGGACAAGGGAAAACTACAAGTGTATGGCTAGACGAGGAACTACTACATTTCTGTGTCCCTCAAAAACTTTGCCAAAAACATCCAAGAGAATTTTCAGGATCAACAAATACATTTCCCATATACATCTGTTGAGTGGCTTAAAGTAGACCTAGCACCTAATTTTTTATGTTAAGTGCATGCAGTCTAAGTAATGTTTAGGTGTAGCACTTTCGGTTTCAATCTGTGAATAAATACCTGTAACGTTTTGCTGGTAAAATAAATGGAATGCAAATCTTTCCTAGGGACTTTCTAGTATGCGATTCTTTTAAAACTTTTGTGTATTATTTTAAAGACTAAATAAGTATATTAAGTACAGTTGACCTTATGGTATGTTTGTGTCAATGTGCTTTATTAACTTCTAATGATAAAAAAAAACAGCATCATTCTGATCCTCTCTGGTTTTCTACACATTCTCTTGCAACAAACAATCAAATTAGGCTGGAACATACCATCATGTCACTCTCTATTTGTTCATAAGCATCTGCGAGCTGTTCCTCCCTGTTCTCCAAAGCAATGCTGGCTTCATGATGGATCTTCAGCCACCATTTAAAGTAATCTTCGTTGAGGTCTTTATATGCCAAGGCTAAAGTCCGCAGGCCTTCACCAGCACACTCCTAGATAAAAAACACAAGATCATGTTGTGCAACAGTGAGCTGAAAATTATTAGGGCTGGTACTGATTTAAATTTTCGTGTTCGATTAATCGATTTTTAAAATCGATTAATCGACTAATTTCGATTAATTATAAACGCACATACAGATCCAACTACTTTTGGCTGATCTGCTTGCATTGCAACTCTGCATTAGTCAGTGGTAAATGTAATATAATATTATATATAACATTTATTCTAATATTTGATCATTAGTGAACATCCACAAATACAAGAAACAGGGTTTATTTTTTTTTTTCAATTTATACTGAAGAATTGCTTGCAATCTACTCAATCGTAGTAAACATAGTATTGTGAATTGAGATTGGGATTCACCACAGTCCTCACCTGCTGCTAAAACAAATGCAGGGCAGAAATTAGTCAGTTAAAAGTCTGTGTGTAGCCATCAGCAGCGGTGTAACTACAAATCAACGGGGCACCATAGCAAATGGTTTGATTGGGCTCCACTCAGTGATCCCACCCCGATCTACTGACAGCTGTCACAGGTAGAGGCAGAGTTGCACATCTCAGTCATCCAGCTACATATTTCAATCTTCTTTGCAACGCATCTTTGGAAAAGCTGCGTTGTGACACTGCCCCCCATAATACTTGCCTGTGCTGCTATGGCTATCCATGTACGCCTGGCCACAGCTCCGTCGGCTAACGAAGGGAAGGGGGGAGAAGTCCGGTGACACCACGGACATCGACGTCACCGGACTCCTCCCCATCCCTTCGTTAGCCATCACGGACATCGACGTCACCGGACTCCTCCCCCTTCCCTTCGTTAGCCGACGGAGCCACTTGGGGAAGGGGGGAGGAGTTCGGTGATGTCGATGTCCGTGACGTTACCGGATCTCCGACCGGACTCCCGGAAGCCGGCGGAGAGGTGAGTATTTTCATTAGCGATCAAAAGCATTTTAATCGAACAAATATTTTACCGATTAATTGCGGAATTAATCGTTAATTTCCGCAGCCCTAAAAATTATATATTCTTTTTATGTGACTAACTTCACTCTAATATTTCTTTGCACTTGTAAAAACCTGTATTCATATGCACAGAAGTAATTCATTTTTAGTAGGAACACCTACATTAAACAGTGCCCTTCTGCATGATGGTGCACTACAAATCATTGTGTATAATGTATGGTGCCATCAATACAAATATAAATCTCTGAAATAAACTTCCAGTAGGAAGTCATGTCTTCAATAAGAAGTATGTGTGTGTTGTGTTAACAGGTATAGGAAAGATGCTGGTAAATGCATTTCCTGCATAAATAAAGAAAAAAACTCACATTGAGGTGATCTGAAGTGATGTACATTAATTCTTCACTATGGACATGGAGCCTCTCAAATAAAATAGTGTCTGCTCCTTTACAATAAAGTTTAATCTGTCCTTCTGGATTTCGTACTGTGGAAAAAGGGATAATTGTATTAGCAAATAAAATGATAAACTATGCAGAACACTATGACACAAATAACAAATTGCATGGTTTCCCACTTTATTAATTTACTACCGTTCAACATGCTAAACATTGGCTATACAACCCAAAACAAGACTACTTCAGTGTGGTACTATGTTTGCCAGTATACAGTATGTGAGAATATGGCCTATTGATTCAACCTATTGACTTACAAACAACAAGTGATCGCAGGAAAGTATTAAATAGCAGCTCTGAAAAACATGGATCAGTGAAGGCAAGCTTAGTGCACAAATCACCTTACAAAATCTCCCCAAATGTAGCTGAAGAGTTCCTTAAGGGGATTAACATCTTTTCTCATCTTTTGTAAATATATGCAGTACTTGATGTTTTTAAGACTAACGTTTTTAAGCTGAAGTCTGAGTAAACTGGCTCAAATAAGTTGGGAGCCATTCTGCTGCAAATTTCGTGTTTAAAATAAAATGCAAATACACAGTAAAACACAATTATAGATATTTTTTCCCACGTAATTGCTTGATTAAATATCACCTGTATATATTAGTGCTTAGAAAAACGGTGCATGTCTTAAGTTGTAAAACAGTAGGATGTACCCCGATGCATCCATCTTCATCAAACCATCCCCTGACTTTTCTCTATTTCATGCCTTACTACACACAATTCACTCCCACTGACTGGAGAAACATGTTTACTGGTCTCTTTAGTCTCCATGTGGATTAGCAGACACGAAAGGGGTGGAGAGAGAAATGTGATGAAGAACAGAATTCTCTATCTATTCATGGTTTTGGTTAGGAAACCTCTGAGGACAACTGCAACTTACAGCCAATTTGTGTTTTAGGAGCTGGATGTTTTTTTTTTTCTTTTCACATGGCCCATGTAAACCTTCCACATCTAAGCTGAAAGAAACTTTCTCTATATGTAATGGCCTTCCTGGCTCAGAAAGAACAATAAATCGTAATATAGGGTTATGGGGATTAGAACTCTTTTCACTTCTTTTACAAAACAGATATAATTTGTTTACAGTGAGTCTAAACTGTAATTAACATTTATTAAAAGCCCCTAATACTTTAACTATTTGTTATAGTGTAACTCCACATTTTTGAGCAACAAAATATTATTTTCCATGCCTGTTTTTTACATTGCAAGAATGTTAGCAAACATCATTGCAGACTGTGCTGTTTGGTAAAACTCACACTTGCATTCTATTCACTTTTTCCTTCCTTTGTGATGAGCGGGAAGGACTACCTGCCTCAGCTACATGATCAGTGTTGTGACATTAGAAAAGGAGGGATCGATCACATGAGCAGCAAATTTTATTGTAAAATCCTTTTTTCTGCGCTCAATGGAGGGCACAGCTCTGCTTTAGATAATCAGAGATTGAACCATATATATGCACACAATTGATTACATGCAATATATTCAATTTTTGCTTTTTGGGTGTGGCTATGCTTTAAGGTACTTATAATTGCATTAATAAAATACATTGAATGGTTTATAAATGCATACATAGCTGCAGTGAATTGTGTTTTTTATATTTGCTTGGTGTTTAGCTTTAAGCTAAAATAGGATATTATTTACAAACAGCTTTTGTGCTAATAAGGTCCTTTTTATTATTATTATTATTATCTGTATATGAAAGAAAATAATCAGATAACACTAAGACAACAGATCAGAGAAACACAAAAAACAAAAAGGGAGGTTGAGGCATAAGTTTAAGAGGAGCCAAAGGGGAGAATAAGAGGGAAAGAACATGGGATTTATCCAAAAAGAGGTAGACAGTGCTAGGAGAAACAAAACAAAAAAAAATGTGGAGACAAAAATCAAAGAGAAGAATACACATTTTCTAAATATAACTATTTTATTTGAGGGAAGATCTGATTTTCATCAACTTGGAATTTTCATCTATTTGAACAAAGCAGCTAGCTCTTGCCTATGGAGATCAACATGTTTCAAAGAAATCGCAGCAATTTAAAAGTACTCCAATGTATCTGCTCGCTTAAAACTCCACTTTTACTAAATAATAGAAATGGAATATGAATGCAATTCCTATGCATCTTCCTCTTTGACATGACAACAAAGTGTATTTTCTGCTCTGAATTCCAAAGCATGTGTTGTGAGCCCCGCCTACTCAATTTCTGATTCATTACAAAGAACACATACCTCTCCTCATCTCCCTCCCCCTCATCTCAATAACCCCTCCTTTTGCACAGGCAGAAAGCACAGGAAGTTATCAGCTCACAAGATTTCTGACAATATAAACAAGTATTTTTTGTACTTTTTTGTACTAATGTAACCGAAAAAAACAAAAACATTCAGTGGTGTATTTAGACAGCCAAAAGGAAGCTAATAAGAGAAATTAATTGTTAGGGTTTACATACACTTTAACCACTTAAAGACCAGGGTGTTAAACCCCCTTCCTGGCCAGGCCATTTTTTAGTATTCAGCGCGGCGGTACTTTGACTGACATTTATTAAGTCATGCAACGCTGTACTGAGATGAATTTTATACCATTTTTTGGGGACAGATAGAGCTTTCTTTTGGTGGTTTTTATTCACCACTGGGGTTTTTATTTTTTACTATATAACACAAAAAGTACCCTAAATTGTGAAAACAAAACCTGTTTCCCTATGAAATGTTATGAAACATTTATTATCACCCCAATGTTTTGGTAAAATATAAAAGACGGGGTCACGTCGGGTAAATAGACACCAAACAACGCTTTAAAAGCTTTTACCACTCATCAGTTTAATGTTATCAGTAATTAAGGGCCCAAAATGATTGCTCTCACTCTGACGTTCGTGGCAATATGCAACATGTGCGGCACAATAGACGGAATCGTCGTTTTCGCACATAGGTGCACCCGATGCATGTTTGCATGTGTATGTGGGGGGGCAGGGGACTTTAAAAAATGTTTGTGTTATTTTACTTTTTATTTGTGACTATTTTTTTTGCTTCTTTATTTGTTTAATGCTTTAATTTTTTATAAAAACTTTTTTTTACACTTAGCCCCCTATGTGATAGCAATAAAGTTAAGAAACCCCCTATGTGATAGCCAATTCACATAACAGGTCCTCTTTATGGAGACATCAGGGGTCTCCAAGACCCCTAATGTCACCTAAGGACCCCCAGAGAAGCTGATGAAGCAGAGATCTGCTTCAGCAGCTTCTCACCGGCATCTGTTGCCGGAGAGTGACACTGAATGCGGAAGTGATGTAATATACATCACTTCCTGCATTCGGGGACTGGAGAGGAGATCAAAGGGAGATTGTGTACTGACCTCCCTTTGATCTCCTGTGACAGAGTCGCCGTGCCGGCCCCAGCCACAACGGGCACAGCGGATATCGGGACCGGCGGCGGGGGCGGGTAGGGGTTGCACACCCACACCTAATACAAGTGATCGGGACGCCCAATCGCTTGAATATAGCCGTCGCTGGCTGTTTACATTTATGACAGTTTCCCCACTCATGTGCACGCTGGGCGCTGCACACGAGCGGGGGGACGGGAAGGACATCTATAGATGCCCTCCCGCTATTATAAGGCTCAGGAACGGTCAATGGACCGGAGGTGGTTAAAGCACCTAGACAAAAACGAGCAGTTAACCCTTGCAGTGCGGGTGTAGCCCCATTGCAAGGGTTAATAAAAGGTTTGCCAGCGTTCTTCTTTATGGTGTGAGCATGTAGCCTTTTCTCTCATGTGACAGTGTACAGATCGAACCCAATAATGTTATGTCATAATTTAATTGGAATGGAATCTGGATCACTACTTTTCCTAGATGTATTTAATTATGATGATACTGGAACTGATCATCAGATTACACCAGTGAGACCCTCCCACTTAGCACCCAGAAATAGGATTAAATGAAATGGAATGCGTGTGTGACTTAATAGAGAACAGCAGCAGGTAGGACTTTGCAGTGAATCCTATGTGATAGCCAATTCACATAACAGGTCCTCTTTATGGAGACATCAGGGGTCTCCAAGACCCCTAATGTCACCTAAGGACCCCCAGAGAAGCTGATGAAGCAGAGATCTGCTTCAGCAGCTTCTCACCGGCATCTGTTGCCGGAGAGTGACACTGAATGCGGAAGTGATGTAATATACATCACTTCCTGCATTCGGGGACTGGAGAGGAGATCAAAGGGAGATTGTGTACTGACCTCCCTTTGATCTCCTGTGACAGAGTCGCCGTGCCGGCCCCAGCCACAACGGGCACAGCGGATATCGGGACCGGCGGCGGGGGCGGGTAGGGGTTGCACACCCACACCTAATACAAGTGATCGGGACGCCCAATCGCTTGAATATAGCCGTCGCTGGCTGTTTACATTTATGACAGTTTCCCCACTCATGTGCACGCTGGGCGCTGCACACGAGCGGGGGGACGGGAAGGACATCTATAGATGCCCTCCCGCTATTATAAGGCTCAGGAACGGTCAATGGACCGGAGGTGGTTAAAGCACCTAGACAAAAACGAGCAGTTAACCCTTGCAGTGCGGGTGTAGCCCCATTGCAAGGGTTAATAAAAGGTTTGCCAGCGTTCTTCTTTATGGTGTGAGCATGTAGCCTTTTCTCTCATGTGACAGTGTACAGATCGAACCCAATAATGTTATGTCATAATTTAATTGGAATGGAATCTGGATCACTACTTTTCCTAGATGTATTTAATTATGATGATACTGGAACTGATCATCAGATTACACCAGTGAGACCCTCCCACTTAGCACCCAGAAATAGGATTAAATGAAATGGAATGCGTGTGTGACTTAATAGAGAACAGCAGCAGGTAGGACTTTGCAGTGAACTTTGCAAACATCTTTGCTATGTAAATAACTGCCATGGAAAGAGCTCAACAAAAATAGAATTACACTTCTTTAAGGACAGGTGTTCTACACCCTTTTTAACTGGTTCTGTTAAATAATATTGGATTCATTAATGTGGTGTTTATTAAAGGGATACTATAATAGTTTATCCTCTTTTTACTTGAAATTTTTTTAAATTCACATATTTATAGACTAATTTTATACCATTTTGTTTTTTGTATAAAATCCTTATTGTACCAATACCCGTTCATAGTACTTATTAGTTTGCTTGATTAGCATGCTTTGCCAGCAGAGTGGGAGGGGGCATCTCCCCGCTTTTACTAATTCTGGTCTATATTCAGTACAGGAGCTGCAAGGAAGTGACTTTACATAGCTCCACCTGCTGGTTCCAAATAGTAAATATTCATATGCAATACTGTATGTTTACCTGACAAAAAAAAATAATTGGTGACATTTCTCTGACATCACAAGCATTTTCTGTATAGCTTAAGGATTTGTACTGAAGGTAGGTGTAAATCATCCAGCGCTTCACCTTGCATCAGCAGGTCATCTAACAATGACCAATTGGTACTATTATCAGATCCCATCTAACTTGATCCAGTTACCTCACAAATGTAAAGAAGTAAAAACAATAAAACAAAACGTCATTAACAAATAAATCGCCCCACTACCAAATAAACGCACTACTTGTATCCAAATAATTTTAACATAGTGGCTTATCTGGATGGTACTAATGATTTTGTGTGAGCTTTGAATGCTTTCCCAGGGACACACTACAGAGCTGCTTCAACTATAGTCCAAGCCTATGTAGCTATTTCAGTCTGTATAAGTGAAGGTTTGAGCTATTTCCAGATCAAAGGAAATAAGCAGAATATCTCTACACACAGGCACCTTACAGCAACAAATGCAGAGGCCGGTAAATATGTTTACTCTAACAAAAAAGAGCACATCTGTCCTGACAGGCTACCTTTCCAAAAATATACACAAAGGAGACAGGAAGAAAGCATGTGAAAGACACACTATGAAAAAACATGCAAATCAAAAATACTTTACCTATGACAGACATTCTTTTCCTGACATTGTTGAAATCTAATATTGCTAAAAGTTGGTATGTTACAATTCTCCCCATTTCTTGCACAGTGATGGTCTCAGGCGTTCGGGACTTGAATATAAATCCAAAATTCCTGGCAGCAGTAACCAATGCACCTTCATCTGGTGACTGCACTTGGTAATTCAGGACCCCTGTGTAATTTTAGGAAAAAGAACTTCAAAAATGAATTGTGTAAAAATATATACTTCATCGATATAGATTTAAGTGGTGATATTTTAAAAAACATAGATTATTTTACCTTGTATGGGAATAATATTCTGATGATATGTATGGGTATAAGACGAATGCCGCATGGGCCGGTGTGCGCAAGCAGGAGGGCTTGCGATGATCGCAAGTACGATCTGCCTGTCCAAGATGGGCAGATCGTACGAAATTTGAATCACCTTACAACCATCGCACAACAAAAGTCGTGCAATGGTTGTAAGGTGTATGGACAGCTTTAGGGAGATTCTCACACTCTATTCGCCCAGGTGACCATTATCACTGAAAGTGAAAGAAAATCCCAAATTTTGGATTGTCATCAGAACATGAATAGATGATACATCTTCCAATGGAGAAATTAGTTCTGGTGACCCTGCTGATCACCAGGGATTTCCCTGTCTTTTGAGGGATTTCCTCTCACTTCCTGTTTAGGCTAATCAAACAGAAAGAAAAGGGAAATCTTCGCAGTGGGACACAGATGACATAAAACAAGCTGATAGGGGTTGCAACCCTCCCTTATGTTAACCAGAATAAAAAAAAAAAAGTTTTGGCTTAAGTTCTACTTTAAAACAAAAAGAACATGTCTAATTTCACTTAACCACAATAACAGCCCAAGCCTGATTTTTTATATGACTAATGACCTATAATATTATAATTATTAAGGAAACAGAAAATAGTGGCAAAAAAATGGAAAACATCCTTTTTTGGTCACATAAATTCCAGTGAGAAAGGTCAAGAGCAAGATGTGTGGGACCCATCTGTAAACATACACACCATGAGCAATTCTTCTGGAATCAGGTCTGAGTCATAGCAATCCTGAAAATTCCAGTACTGCAAACACGTGTCTGACCTAAAACCCACGACATCACAAAATTATAAATACTGGGAGTGCTTCTTTCAATAAGTCTTCTATCATTTTCATCTCAGGGAAGTCACCAGCAAGTGGAATTAAACATTTATATTAACCCCTTCAGCTAAAAGAGTTCATTCATTAAGCAAAACTTTGAATCTCCCAAGCATAAAGACCATTTTTGTACATTGAGTTTAATCCCTATTTATTTATTTTTACGATATTTAGCTGGAATCTCAGGTTACCTAGATTTGTTAGGATAATGTAAAACTGAGGATTTCCACCTGTTCCTGGAATAGATGTCAGCAGACTACAGGAAAACCTGGTGCTCTGCTGCTCTTAAGCATAAGTAGAACTCAAGTTGCATGAAGAATTACTCATTATTCTGTGCTGCATTTTAAAATTCTAATTGGTTAGGCCTGGTTCACACCTGTACGTTTTGTAGCGCGTTCAACGCTCTACGAACGCTCTACAAAACGCTCAAACATGAAAATCCCATTGTTTTCTATGGGTATGGTTCACATCTTGCCGTATTTCAGCCCGTCTGAACGTGCTACAAAACGGCCTACGCCAGAAAAGGTACATGAGCTTCTTTGCGGCGTTTTTGTTGCACGTTTCCATTGGGATACAGCCAAGTAGCCCTCGGAAACGCGCGTTTGTCGTGCGGTTTTTTACTGCGAATCACGGTAAAAACGTGCGTCACGAAACGCGCGACAAACGCGCATATTTGATACGACTAGGTGTGAACAGAGCCTAAGACCTCATTCACACATGCAGCGTCACACCTGCATGTATTTGCATTTAGAGCACATTTCTAAAAGCATTTAATGCAGGTATCCAGTTTTCAAAGGTATCATTCAGACTGGACCGGTGTTCAGTTTAGTGGAGATAAGAGAAAATAGAATTCTGTGTGTCAAAAATCCGATTAGAAACTCTAAACGTTGTTATACTGATGAAAATGTGACAAAAACTGATGCTGAATATTGATGCTAAATGTGACAAAAACTGCTTTGAAGCAGGAACTTTTGAATGCAGGAATGCAGGAGTGCAAGTGTAATTCGAGTCTTACATTTGTAAAGATTTTGTACCACTAACATTGGCCTTTTGTACCACTAACACATGTTCTTTAAAATGAGCAGAATTGTTTTCCATTACTTTCATTTATTTATTTGTAAATATAGTCCTTGCATTTATTTTAGATTCACAGGTAAAAATGGATCAGCCAAATAATCCTATGAATGTGTGTTCAAGTTTTATTAAACTATTCTCTATGTATAGCTTACGGGGCAATATTCGATTATTACATAAGCAGGCTCTGTTTCCTGCCATGCAGTACAGCTACTGCTCAAAATGCAAGCCTATTAGTCACCTGACCCACTGATGGTACTCCTAATAAATTCGTCTATCAACAAATGTTAAAACAGTGTGAAAGTATGATTTTTGTGGCCAGACTTGAAATCTTTACATTTAATTGATGGCTTTGACTGGCCAGGCAACAAATGCATCTCTGTAGTCTCCCACCCTCCTGTCTCCTGGGTCTTTACAGTCTCCCACCCTCCCATCTCCTGGGTCTCTACAGTCTCCCACCCTCCCGTCTCCTGGGTCTCTACAGTCTCCCACCCTCCTGTCTCCTGGGTCTCTGCAGTCTCCCACCCTCCTGTCTCTTTACAGTCTCCCACCCTCCCATCTCCTCTCTCTCTAAATTCAAGAAAACAGAATATTGATACACTAAACTGTGCTAAATTGTCATGTGCATTAAGCTGGCACGCACAATCTGACTGTGCGGTCTACGGAAGTCAGGTCAAGCGGTACAAAAATGAATATATCTTACTATTACAATGTAAAACGAAAGTTTGAAAAAAAGATTTAAAGATTTAAACATTATGCTGGTAACCCTTTACAATCTCAAAAAATGGTTTCAAACTAAGCAGTTGTTGGTAAATCTAAAGGAGAATATACAATCCGGTTGTACTGTCAGTGGTTAGCTTTAGATTTGCTTAATACATTATGAATACATTTACTTAACAATTCAGGATATACCCAGTTTTTCCTGTGTGGAAAGCTGGACACATACCTTTCTGTCTAAATGCACAATCTAATTTAAGGTTAGGTTGAATGGTATATAAGGCATTGTCTTACATTTTTAAAGACCTTAATTACTTGCTTGGTACCAACCAACTGTTGCCAAGCAAAAGTGGCATCACTATTTAAAAGGGATTAAGGTCTTCACTTAATAACTGCAAGACTAATAATTTAACTTCTATGCTGGTAAGATTTTTGAGTGATTGGTAATGGCTGACATACTAACAAGAGTGTGTGCTATAAAAAAATATATGTGATATCCTGCACAGAGTTATGAAATACAGATGTTGTCAAACAAATCTTAGTTTTTATGAGAATGTAAACAGAAACTTGGATAAAGGAATGTCTGTAGATGTAATATATAGGACTTTGCTGAACTGCTTGACACAGCTAATATCTACATTAAGAGTCATAAATTTAGACATTTTAGTCTGTACGGCCTTATGCACACAGGCCGCACAAGAGAAGTTATCTGCCAAGTATAAACAACTTTTATGCTTTCCAGGTCACTTTTTTTCTGTGTTTAGTTGTTGTGCAACACCAGGCTAAAAGGTCCCGGGATGCAGAAAAGTTTTGTTTATGTAAATTGAGCTAGACTTGCATCTAGACGCTGCTACATGTCTAAGTGTGCATTCAGCCATAGCAAACATTACATGATATTCGGTGTTTATAGAAATGAGCTCCAAACGCACATGGACGCATGTATTTTAATTGTTACGTTCAGGAGGAGTAATTAGATAGAATACTTAAAGTACTTAATTAATTATACTCCCAATAATCTTATAATAATTTTAATTGGTGTATGCCAAAAGATTGATCTACCAAAGGCAAATAGGCTGTTCACTTTGCAAGGCAATTTTCTTAGTTTAGTAAATGTAGTGAAAATTCCCTTTTACAAAGTAAACCCAATCACAACCAAGGAAGATTAAAAAAAATATGTAAAACAGTATTTTTGCTTGCCCGTGATTGGATGATGGAAGTCAGCAGAGCTTCACCTCATACACTAAGCTAAGGGGAACTTCCTTTGCAAAGTGAATAGCCTATTTGCCCTTAGTAAATCAACCCCGAAGTCTAAATTCTGGAAATAATACTTTTAAGTTTCAGTTTGTTAATTCACTTTCTTTTTCTACAAAGAGGTACAGAAGAAATATATGACAATTTTAGCCAAACAAGATTCCATGAATGAAAGCAGCCACTGATTACAAAACAAGTTAGTGAGTCTTCCGATACAAGTATGGAAAGTTGAGGCTTACATCTGTCCCAGGTGTTGTGTTTTAGTATACTGGAAAGCAGTGTTATCAGGATCATGGGTTATAGTGTGAGGGGGCAATTAACATTAGGTGTTGGGTAAACCCTTTTTGCATTGAAAATTTATAGTGGAAGGCTGAGGATTTTGAAAATGCTATGTAGTTAGCTCATGTAAGGACAATATTCAGTATATGAATTGTGTCTGTATCTGTGCCATGCCTTTATTCATATTTTTCACCAAATGTACATGCAGGCCAAGCTGTTCAGAAGCTGGCAGTTCAGTTGGCATTTGAATACTAACTTGTATACTTGTTCTGGGTCAGTGGCTTACTGAAAGCCAGTCAACTAGTAATTTTCAGAACGAGAGATCTTATACAGGGGCTAACTGAAAAAACTTTGATGACACAGAAGTAGCAGCTGAATTCATGTGTGAAGTACCATAAGGAGCTCATGTAGCCAGTGTTTCTGTACAGGCTGGCCTGTGAAAGGTGGCAATTCCACAGTTACAAGTAGGGATGCACCGATACTAGTATTGGTATCGATGCCGAGTATTTGGGCGACTACTCGAACTCGCCCAAATGCTCAGATGCCAAGCCCGACACTTGAGCTTCCGGTAATAGGAAGCCGGGCAGCGAGTCATTACACACTGCCTGGGTTCCTGATTGGCCGGGAAGCCGTCTCCATGCTGTCTCGTCACTTGTGATGAGGGAGCATGGAGCCGGCCAATCAGGAACCTGGGCAGCGTTTCATTACACACACCCCGGCTACCTAATTGGCCAGAAAGCTGGCTCCATGCTTCCTCATCACCTGGTGAGGGAGGGAGCATGGAGACAGCTTCCCTGCTAATCAGGAAGCCAGGTGGGGAGTCATTACACGCCACCTGGCTTCCTTAATGGGACATCCGAAATCTGTATTCGGTATCGGTGAGTACCGAAAGAAAAAATATCGGTACTCGTAACTAAAAAAAACGGTATCGGTGCATCCCTAGTTACAAGCAGCAATAATTCACACATGTATAAAATTAGTCTTTTAATATGACTGGGCTCATAAATTAATGTAATGGTATTAGTTTTTCTTTCATGTAATAGTTTTTCTCTTGTGTGTATCAAATGAAATCTACATGCAAGTATGCTTAGCTCCAAACAAACCTTCTTTTTTCTCTTCAGACATGACAGTATGACAGAGTGACAACACTCTAAAAAACTCGTGCACGTGGGGCTCCTCCAGCTTTATAGACTCAATTAAGCTGTGATCATAAAACTGAAACTTGCCATCAGCAAGGGGATTGAATGAGAAGTCCACTGGTGGTGTTTTCTGGAATATACATGGACACACATACAAATCTAAATTAATAATTTAAAGAAGAAAGCACAGTCTGTAAAATGTATATAGATGATATACATATATGGAAACATATTATCCTAATCAGTATTTAAATTATCATATAAAATGAGACCACCCATGCAGTGCAATAAGGGAGGCTAAATCCAATCTCAAAAAGTAAGATTTGATCTCAATCCCCCCTATGTAAAAATTTAGAATGTTATTAAAAAACCGTTAACCAGAGGGATACAACCCATGGCAACTAATAAATATAGCTGTCATTCTCCTGGCCACTCTAAGTTGTTGGAAATTAATTGAAGGGTCAATTTACTGATACCTGATGATTTTCGTCTGCTGTTCGTCTGAGGTTGTATTTACCCAATTTAAGACCTACTAAGGACCAAATGATTTTTTTATGTCCTGATACTAAAAACCACAGAATCCAAGGAGTGTGTACTTTCTTTTACACAGGATTGTGTGTGTTTTTTTGCATTTTGGGTTTACATCTTCTTTAAAACTTAAAGTGACATTAAACCCTCAGATTTTTTAACATAAACCAATACTGTAATGTGTGCCTTACTGTAATCTATGGCTGTTTCCCTTCTCTTTGCTGCTCTTCCTTTTAAATCCTCATGTCTTCTCATGCTGGGGGAGAACTTCCCTTTGCAGCTGAGTGCCTCTTCCTGTAGTGCTGGCTCAGGTTGCAAACCTACACACAGACACCATGTATCCATTTCAGAGACAAGGCAGTCTGCTGCAAAACTGAAGTTCTGCCCAGCATGAGAACAGATACAGATTTAAAAGGAAGAGCAGCAAAGAGAAGGGAAACAACCATGGATTACAGTAAGGTGCACATTACAGTATTGTTTTATGTTAAAAAAATCTGAGGGTTTAATGTCACTTTAACTCCAGGCACCTTAAAAAGCTAAAAAAGACAGATAGGCACCAGTCGGGTTCTGGCATACAAGGAGGAATATGTCATCAAATATATTACACCAATCCAATGTAAAGGCTGTACTACTATTTTTTTGGCCAGGAATTCAGCTTTAAAAATATCACTTTTGAGTGGATATATTCAATTTGAAAACAGAACTAATGAGAATAACATTACAAATATGAAAAATTAGTAAGCTGTACATGATGCAGACACCAATATTGCAGAAAGCAGAAGTTGTTACCTCAGTAATTTCCACTTTTCGACCAAGTTCATCTCGTACTTCACCTATAGAACAAGTAAGATGCATTGATTAATTCAATAAAAAGAAAAAAATCCCCCCAAAGCCAAACAATGATGCAAATTTAGGCCTCATTAAAACTGGCAATGTCATACATGCTTTTATATGAATGTATAGGACATTTCTAAATGCATATTTTCATTGCAATGATATTACATGGTATACCTGTATTTAGGTGCATTCAATTTAGGTAGGTTAAAAAAATAAAATTCTGTACGTCCCGGAACAGATTAGATACTCTGAATGCATCTAAACTAAAAACAGATCTCATATGCACCTTAACTTAGAGCACAAAACATAATATTGTAAGGTATTTGCTATATAATGTATCCTGCAACACCGGAAAACATAAATCTGTTTATTGTTATTACCCCCCTGCATTGGGAATTACTGTATTCCAGCTGTACTGTCAACATAAACCATTAATAAAATAAATAGCAATTCACTGTACACTGCACAGTGTTCAATTTTAACAGAGCATGTACTTATATGACCTACTCAATTACATTATTTCACAAATTTAAAAAGAAAATTACATAAAAAAATGCATTAAAAATCTCCTCTAGATGTATGAGCAGTACACTGAATTGAGAGGAGGTGTCACTCGTGAAGGCAGCAGACCCAGAGGATGCAGAGCTATAACTCTTTTGATGCACCAATGATTTCCCATATATACATAGTGGGCAATTTCAGCAGTGAAACCACTGTGCTGTCTGGCAGGCTTGTGTAAAGTATAGAAATGATTGGCCAGAAATACAAATCTTTTGGCAACAATTCCCATATATGTACTTTAATGTTATATTTAGCAATTTGTCTGGAGTTCAACTTTAATGGTTTGGATCTCAGTCTAAGGAGCCCAAATAAAATAAACAGTATCAAAGGTCAATCTGTATATAAGTCATGTATCTTACGTACCATATAATCTGCCATTGATTGAACATTTGTTGAATGTCATTATGTTCTGAGTTAGTGTCCCTGTTTTATCAGAGAATATATACTCTATCTGTCCTAATTCTTCATTTAGAGTAGTGGTCCGAGCTTCAGCAGGAGTGCCCCTTTTGGAATAATACATTTTACGGTCCCAGTTGATAAAGTAACTATGTCCCAGGCGAATAACTTCAACACTTAAATAAAAAATAAAAAATAAATCAATCCATATTATACATTAATACAAATATTTAAAATGTATTTATAAAATGCTTAAAAATATAACAATAAAATATTTGTTAACTTGCATTAGATTGTAATTCAGATTCAGAATGAAGGTGTGATGCATAGATAACTTGTATAAACAGAAGCATGCCTTCAGTATAAAAAGGAATTTGGTAAAGCGTGATGGATTATGTTAATTATAGGAGGAAAAATAAAAAATGGATCATCCTTCTTAAAAAAAATATATATAGTATATACAATTTTAGGATTTATGAAAGCAGGTGCAGAATTAAAAAAATAACTAGTGGTAGCCATTATTACTACGGTATCTATACATTCTGAAATAGATGAGATTTTTTTTCCACATTATGTAGATCTTGTCAACTTCCTGCTTTTCAATACTCTATTCATCTTTGTCATCTTTGTCAACAACTTTAGGAACATGGCAGCAGGAGGAAAATGACTTAAGGTGAGATAGTAAGTAAAATTTTGATGAGCCTAGCATTCTATGACATTGCAAAGCCATTTTAACTACCATTTCACTGCGCAATGTGAATTCTTTAGTGGCTAGCAAGGGCACCACCACTGGAGCGGATATAGCTTTTATGGTTAATTAAGAGTAATAGCAGGTGTCTTCTGTCACACAGGAGTTTAACGTATAAATGGGTAAAACACAGTATAAGTTCATTTTAAGGGGCTGCAACAGCAGATAAAATGTATATTTAGTTTTTTACTTTTTCCAGTTCCCTCTTTGGCAACTAGTGTACGCTTGTGGGTAAAGTCAGCTGCAGAAGAATCTGCATAGAAGTATGCTCTGCAAATAACATGTTACCATCTCTTTCTCTGTTATTGATTGAATTAACAGATCAGTAGGATCTATGCAAAGAATGTGGCATGCATTTTTTAAAACCACATCCTAGTTCTGATTTTTGCATTAGTAAGCACTCATTTAGGACAAAAGTGCTTGAGTTGGCATGGATGAGTGGTATTTTAAACAGTAGACAAAAGGTACAGTTTCCAATAATGTTACGCTAACAGACTTTTCAGCATGAAAGATATCACAGTACAGTGCGGTCCCTAATGAACAGAACTAATATTGTTCAGCATGCCGGCCGCATAATTGTCCATAACCCGACTACTCTATATACTGTGTTTAATCATAATATAACATGATAACATTTTTATATTATAAGACATTTTTAAGGGTAGTGATGGGTAAAGCGCTCTCAAATCCCATAGGGCATTAACATGCTTGGGAGATGCCTTAAAGCTGTACGTAGCAATATGAAACAGTACAAATTTTAAGGACAGTCTCAGTCAAGGCATACTCTGGCAGCACAAATTTGGCTATGGAATAGATTATTTATCTTACAGTTAGCTTGGCCGACATATAATCAGCAACACCCCTACCTCCTTCATTTCAGTTTTTTTTTTCAAGTAGCATAGCAGCGACATATACGTGTTCATCAAATGGTAATAGACCTGTTTTGACCAACACATGGAAATTGGCCGGTAGTGTGGTGTGGCTGTCCCTGTTCTCGCTGATGCAGGATAGCAATTCAATAAAAGCTCTGATTAAGAATAAAGCAGATGATACAGCAGTGCAAAATTGGTGAGCAGCAGGACATTTTAATAGGGGAGAATTGTCCAAAATGTCCTAGCGGATAAGCAGTCATCAGTAGGACAAATTTAGAGAGCAAAGATGGGACCAAATTTAGTAGACAGAAAAAGCAGAGGCTTGGGCTTTACTACAAGAAATAAGATACAGAAGTCTAAAATTGGCAAGTAGCAGGACAGTTTTAATCAGGGATAATATCCAAAATGTACTAGAGACAAATAATACAGGTGGGTGTTTACTACAAGATTTAAGAGACTGCAGCTGATACATTAGAGGAAAATTGGGCCAACAGGGCAGTTGTAGTTAGGGATAATAAGCCTAACCGGTGTATGCCTAACTTTTTATTTTATCTACAGGGATTGGGGAATGAATATGAGTGATATAATGTGAGTTGATTTAGACATTGTTGTTGAATGTTTTCTTCAAACCCACAAAAGAAATGAAAACACCAATCCTGAAACAAAAGCTCACTTTTTTTAGGAAAACCCTTGCAACAAACAAAAAGGTGTTTAAACTAAAATAAAGGCCTTATCAACATACAATAAAAGCCAATAAACCCCCAAAATAATGAAAGCCCTAAAATACCACCCCTGAAGCAAAATTTTTTTTTACAAATGGAAGCCTAACATCAAAAAACAAAGTTTCATTTGGATGGGACAGAAGCCAAATCAACCACAAAATAAAATAAAAAATCCCCTAATAATAATAAAAAAGGCAGCAAAGAGTAAAGTTTCTTAGCTGACCTCTCCCTATGTAGTTTGTCAGCTTTCCCTATGACTTACCTTTAAAAGTGTTTAACAAAAATCCTCCCAGGTGAATCTGCACATATATATACGCTGCAACAGCGAATGTTGAACCTGCAGGATTCGCCACAAACCCATGGTACCCAAACCTCATCCCTGTATTTGGTTTTAATACTTTCCTAGTGTCTGACCAAAAACGTCTGCACAAAGACATTGTTTTCACATGATAACTAGGCAACCAGCTTTTTCAAAGGTTAAGGTCAGCAATGACAGCCTCCATATTTGTCTCAGCACATGTTGCCTAAGAAAGGTAATCAAGAGGTGAAGATTTTAAAGCGAAACAATTTTTTTTAATTCAAATGAATGTTATGTTGACAAAAAACAAACACTACACTAGGTAAACTACATGTATAAGGATTTCCAGAAAATTTATTGCAAAATCTTATAAGCTTCAACAATACAGCACTCTATGAAAGCCAGTGTAAAGGTTTGCCTTTACTTAAGTCATGTGATCTGTGCCAATATTGTAATAAGAAATTATGCAATTCCAGAGTCCTGATATTGTATATCAGGACTCTCACCAACTGAAACTCCCTTGTTCAGTAACTCGAACAACTAATCAGCTGACAGTTTTTTTATTTAGTCAAACCAATGAAAGCTGATCTGTGATTGGTTATTGTAGATTGCAGGGCCTAGCTGATTGTTATCGGTCACTGAAAACTGCTTGGTCAAAGATGACCTCTTTTAGTGGCATGACATTACACCACAATCTACTAGTGCTATAAAAGAACATAACTGTGTTTTTACTTTTATAATGTCAGCTTTGCTGAAAAAAACAAGTAATGCAAATGGATTGCCCTTTTTACAGTAATTTTGTTTTTCTTAAAGCTAAACTTCACCCTTTAGTTAATTCATTAAAAATCATTACATGCAGGCTAGTTAGCTATACCGATCATAAGTATGTCGAGGGATGGGAAGGGGAGTTGCAACAGAAGTGGACACTGAAAGAATGGCAACAGATGTGGGGGAATATGGCGAGCTGCTCTGTCAATGTTACAAATGCGGAGGTTGCCTATAAAGTGGTAATGAGGTGGTATGTGGTCCCAGCGCGGGTGGCTCGCCGGTTCCCTTCTTCCTCGAGTGCTTGTTTTCGAGGCTGCAGGGAGGTGGGGGATATGGTGCATGTGTGGTGGCGATGCCCATCAGGCACTCGCTTTTGGATTAAGATATTCAAACTGATTAGCTTCCTCTTTCATACACATGTTTCCAGAAACCTTCAATATGCCCTCTTCCATTTATCTATACTTGGGATGACAAAGCCACAGCGTGCCTTGTCGCACTTTATTTTTCTAGCAGCCAAGTTAACCCTGGCTGGCAACTGGAAGAAACAACAAATCTCGTATGTGGAATTCGACAATAGACTAGATCATGTCATGCTTAATGAACGCCTTTCAAGTATCCTAGACTACAAACATAGTAAATGTCTGGGTATCTGGGAGCCTTGGCTCATGTATCGCCACCCCAATATGGACCCAACAAGCTATCGGGGAATTTGACGTTTTTCGAACTTTGGGGCGGTTCTGGTGCAAGTAGGGGGCTGGACAGCCTCTGTTGCTGCTCAAAGTAATGAATGTTGATATGAGATGGGACCCACTACCACCACCATTAGCATTAGGGATACTATTACCCTTCTCTTCTTCCTTACCTGTCTCTTTTTCCTTCTTTTTCTTTCTGGGGGATCTCCCCCCACTATCTCTTTCTCCCTTATCCGTTTGGTTCCAACTTCCTCCCCTGGGTTCTCCCCTAAGGGTTTTTTTTGCTGCTGAAAATTTTACTACCTAGTATATGGTTACAGGCAAGATGCCCTCTTGCTCTTAGAATTTTAAGCCTTAGTCTATAATATTGCATTCATTTTGTTTGAACGGTTTTCGATCTAACTACTGGCTTAAAGGAGAACTATGCGGTTAAGGCTTTTCCCCATAGTTCTCCTTAGGGTAACGGGAGGACACAAACTAGCGTCCTCCCGTCACCCTAGGCTCAGTGTAGCTCGCGGTATACTGAGACGCTGCAGTATACCGCGAGCTGCTGCTCGCGGAATACTGAGACGCCGCAGCTGAAGCAGATCACGACAATTGTGCCGGGATCCGCCCAGCTGCATGACTGACAGCTGTAGCTGTAGCTGCAGAGCCAGCTGTACCCGCCCCTTCCCCCGTCCGTTCCGCCAGTCAGCGCTGACGGATAAGAGCGGGGAGGGGGGAATCCAGCCACTCCCCTATCACGGCAGAGAGTTGTGACAGGATCGAGAGGGGAGCGAACACCGGTAACTGTTCGCTCACCTCCCGATCTACTGAGCCGACCTGTGACAGTCTCATTGTCACAGGTCGGCTAGAACTATGAGGTGAGTGAAAAGAACTCACCTCATAGTTCTCCTTTAATTAGCTGTGAACCCATTAACCGTGTTTCCCTTATGTTAAACACTAATAAAAATATTGAAACAGAAAAATCATTACATGCATTGCAGCAGGTAAAAAAAAAAATCTTAATCTCTCTACATATTAGCCACCAGTAACCGCCCATAGCTGCACTCGGATTGATATAGGCAGCACTTTAA